TTCTGTTATATTCACAGTATTAACAAGGAAATGTGATTGTGGAATAACAAACTTCAAAATCTACCCAGAATATACCACAGGGAATAAATCAGTATGAGAAGGTATTACAAACTGCAACATAAGTCTTTTACCCATGTTGACAATAGCTTCTACTTGTGTAAAGATCTGTTCTAAAGACATCTGAACAAGTATATATGAAGATTTAGGGCTGCCCCTTGCAAGCAAGTGTACTTTGACCAGACCAGATCGCCAGCATTTCTGTCACATTATAGGTTCAAAATCTGAGGGTAATCACAAGACTAATAAAAACAAACTAGGTTTCTCAAGGCCAACTTAAATCAAATGTTTCCAAGTTCACCTGAATCTAAATCTGTTTTAGGACTAACCTTTGATTTCTAGAGTGAAGAAAGAATATACAGAAGCCCAATGCACACGGTAAGCCACATGCTGGCCTGATATAAAAGTGGTATGTAGTTGTGTACTCCCATCCTAACCAGGCAATCAACATGATGTCATTCAAATCAGAAGTAACCACATCTTCATCTTACCAAGGAGAGGCACTCCCAAAGGCTGCAATTTATACATGGCTGATGTGATAGGGCTTTTGGGCACTGGGAGTCAACTGAAGAATTTCTGCCAATGATTTCAACTCACCTCCTTGTTCATCCAGCATTGTGATGGTCTTGATTCCTGCATCCTGAGACTAAAAGAAGGAGGAAAAGACCAATAGTACAACAAAACAAACCTAAAGCCATTAAAAATAAATCCTACAAGGACTAACAAAGGCAAGGCTAGAATCAATTAGCAACTCATCCTCAGAAGACTGGAATTACAGAGACAGTATTTCTAGGGGTTAAAGTCAAAGGGAGTGCGGTTGAGATGAGATTTTAGCTAAAAGGACAAGAGCATCAAACAGCTCCCTGAGAAACTCCATCCACAGATGCATAGCAAGGCTCAGTGTGCCGGTGATCAAAGGCTACAGCTAAAGTTCCAGAACTAGCATTCTTAAATCAACACACACTCCAACATATTAACCCCCAAAATAAATAAGTCAAAAATTCACAATGAATTCATATTCTCTGTCACATTCCAATACATTCAAAAAGGGAAAAACAGAAGAGGCTAGCTAGCGTGTGGTTTGATGGTTTCAGTAACTGCAGGTTTCAAACAAGAAAGTATATTACTAAACTGTGCTTCAGCAGCGCTGCCAGATGGTGCCAGCAGTAACCTTTCTACAAGCTTCTATATTTAACTTAAGGACTAAAATGCTTTCTTACCTCAATGGCTAGACCCAGGATTCTTCTTGTACTTTCCAGAGACTAGAAAAAACAAATATATATAAATATAAAGCTGTGTATATATATACATACAGCTTTATTTAAATATTCCAAAATGTGTAGCATAAAGTCATATTCATAATGCTACTATTTCTAACTTTTTAAAAAGATTTTTATTTATTTTTATTGCAGGGGCAGATGTGGGCCTGGCGGCATGGCCTAGCGGCTAAAGTCCTCACCTTGAACGCGCTGGGATCCCATATGGGCGCCAGTTCTAATCCTGGCGGCCCCACTTCCCATCCAGCTCCCTGCTTGTGGCCTGGGAAAGCAGGACGGCCCAAGGCTTTGGGACCCTGCACCAGCGTGGGAGACCCGGAAGAGATTCCTGGTTCCCAGCTTCAGATCGGCGCAAAGCACTGGCCATTGCACTCACTTGGGGAGTGAAACATCGGACAGAAGATCTTCCTCTCTGTCTCTCCTCCTCTCTGTACATTTGCCTTTCTTTTTTTCTTTTTTTAAGATTTTATTATTTATTTTTATTACAAAGTCAGATATACAGAGAAGAGGAGAGATAGAGAGGAAGATCTTCTGTCCAATGATTCACTCCGCAAGTGACCACAATGGCCGGTGCTTTGCCGATCCGAAGCCAGGAGCCAGGAACTCCCTTCCAGGTCTCCAACACAGATGCAGGGTCCCAATGCTCTGGGCCGTCCTTGACTGCTTTTCCAGGGCACAGGCAGGGAGCTGGATAGGAACTGGAGCTGCCGGGTTTAGAACCGGTGCCCATATGGGATCCCAGTGAGTTCAAGGCGAGGACCGTAACCGTTACACTCCCTCGCTGGGCCCTACTGTTTCTAATTTACAAGCCTATATTCCTCCCTCCCTTTAAAAAAAAAAAAAAGAAAAGTTGATCACTATCTTTTTAGCTTTTTCTGCTTATTAAAACCTTTAAAAGCAAAATTTGGGGCCCAGCGAGATAGCATAGTGGCTAAAGTCCTCACCATGAACGCGCTGGGATCCCATATGGGCACCAGTTCAAATCCCAGCGGCTCCACTTCCCATCCAGCTCCCTGCTTGTGGCCTGGGAAAGCAGTCAAGGATGGCCTATAGGTTGGGACACTGCACCCACTTGGGAGACACCAAAGAAGTTCCTGGCTTCATATCGGCTTAGCATCAACCCCTGTGGTCACTTGAGGAGTGAACCATCAGACGTAAGATCTTCTTCTTTGTCTCTCCTCCCTTTATATATGTGGCTGTCAAATAAAAGTTTTAAAAATCGTTTAAAAAAAAAAAAGAGAAAATTTGGGCACAGGCTGCTGCAGTGTAGCAGGAGCTGCTGTCACCAAGCTTGGGCAATAAAGACTCCTCCTGGGCCCAGCATGGTAACCTAGTGGTTAAAGCCCTCACCTTGTACCAGGATCCCATATGGGCGCCGTTTCTAATCCCAGCAGCTCCACTACCTATCCAGCTCCTTGCTTGTGGCCTGGGAAAGCACTGAGGAGGCCCAAAGCCTTAGAACTCTGCACCCACGTGGGAGACCAGGAAGAAGCTGGCTCCTGGCTTCAGATTGGCACAGATTCAGCCACTGCAGCCACTGGGAGTGGTCAAAGGACAGATGATCTTCCTCTCTGTCTCTCCTCCCCTCTGTATATCTGACTTTCCAATACACATTAAATAAATTTTAAAAATTAAAAAATAAAAGACTCCTAACATAAAAAAATTTGGATAGATTTAAAGGTGTTCATAACAATGTACTAAAGATAGAAATATTTGTGCTATACAGAAAGCAAGAATAAATAAGAACCCAGCAATCATTATCTGAAAAAAACCCAAATTGTTTTCACTTACTTAATCTTTCTGCTAAATTGATGAACAGCATAATGGCACTGAGAGGCAAATGTATTCTTTCACACAAACAAACAAGGGAGATCTGTCACTGTGAAAACTGCAACAGGATTAGTCTCAAGGAAACATTTACCTCATCAGTAACCTGGTGAGCCTTCAGCTGAATTTCTTCAGACGTCAGATTATCCATGATGACTCAAAACTTTCTCAGGAGTAGGAATGGAAATGAGGATATTCTGTAAGAATAAGCAAACAGATGCTTGAACAAAACAAAGAGAGCAGGTTTATGAAATTTAAGTGCTTTCGGAAACAAGGTAAAACCTATCTTAATCAAGTCATCCATCCATCCAGATAGCTGAACAAAGCAAACTGGATATTTAATGCTGGTTAGTACCAAAGAGGAACACCTGAGCCATTAGCAGGGCGTTGGATCAGAAGCAGAGCAGCAAGGACACAAACTGGCATATACACGGGATGTCACCACCATGCCAGCCCCTCATCTTTGTATTTTTATTATCTAATAGGACCTGACAGTAAGCATCCCAAAGATGTCCGTTTAATAAACAATTAAGAAAAAGAGGCCGTACTCTCAATTTAAGTGACTCTTAGAAACAAAGCTACATCATGAGCAAGCGCTGTGGCATAAGAGGTTAAGCATTTGCCTATGGAGCAGGCATCTCATATGGGCAATAATTTGAGACCAAATTATTCCACTTCCTATTCAGCTCCCTGCTTAGGGCCTGAAAGGCAGTGAAGGATGGCCCAAGGCTGGGCCCTTGTACCTATGCAGTAGACCCGAAAGAAGTTCCTGGCTCCTGACTTCAGATTAGCTCAGCCCTGGCCACTGTGGTCATCTGGGGAGTGAACCAGTAGATAAAAGATATCTCTCTCATTTCTCTCCTTCTCTCTGTAACATTTCACCTTTTAAATAAAAATAAAATAAGAAAAGAAACAAAGGTACAGGTAACAAAAACACCACATATCCACCAGAACAAGACTCAAAACTGCCACTGCACGTGTATGATCTTGAACAACCTGTTAATCTCAATTTTAGTAGAATCATCTTAAGTAAGATACATGTTCCTAGTATAGGAAGGTACCACAGTTAGAACTATTTATAATATTACTGTTATAGCTGGCTGAGTTTTAAGATTAATGAAATGTATCTTAACTACAAATATTAACACTCAGAGAAAAAAAAATCCAAATTCCCTATATGTAGTTCAGGCAAAAAGATCATGTGCTAAAATATACAATCACGATATGAGGAAGACCCATTCTTGAGTGTACAAACTGTTCAGTCATCATCAGATATTTGCAAAAACAAAACTGTGTATCTTACTGTTTAGGAAACTTTAGATTTATCATATTTTTGTCCATGCCACTATTCCTCATTAGTCTTTCATAGTTAAACTACAAAAAGCAAAATGTTATCTTCTGCAAATCATGATTTCCAGGTATCTACATGCCTTTTTCTTTCTGTACAACCCAGCCTAGCCGCCAAAGGAGTCAGGCTTCACTATCACTCCAAGAACCCCAAGTGAGATGCCTCTCCAAAGCCTGCCCTGCCCAGGCCGTGTGCTCTAAAGTTATCTGTCCCTCTGGCATGGAACTTTTCAATGCCCAACAGAGAAAATGGTGTAAGAAAATTTTAGGGCCCGGGGCGATGGCACAATGGTTAAGTCCTCGCCTTGCACGCCCGGGGATCCCATATGGGCGCTGGTTCTAATCCCAGCAGCTCCACTTCCCATCCAGCTCCCTGCGTGTGGCCTGGGAAAGCAAAGACAGCCCAAAGCTTTGGGACCCTGCACCCACGTGGGAGACCCAGAAGAGGCTCCTGGCTTCGGATTGGCTCAGCTCCAGCCATTGCAGCCGCCTGGGGAGTGGTTATCCTTTAACCACTTGCGCCACTGTGCCGGGCCCTATTTTATTTTTTTTAAAGATTTTTTTTGGGGGGGGGGGGCCCGGAGCAGTGGTGCAGTGGTTAAGGTCCTCACCTTGCACTCCTGGGATCCCATATGGGCGCCGGTTCTATCCCGGCAGCCCCGCTTCCCTTCCAGCTCCCTGCCTGTGGCCTGGGAAAGCAGTCGAGGACAGCCCAAAGCTTTGGGACCCTGCACCCACATGGGAGACCAGGAAGAGGCTCCTGGCTTCGGATCGGCTTAGTATCCGTTGCGCTCACTTGGGGAGTGAATCATCGGACGGAAGATCTTCCTCTCTGTCTCTCCTCTCTGTATATCCGCCTTTCCAATAAAAAAAAATAATAATAATAAAAATAAATCTTTAAAAAAAATAAAATAAGATAAGATAAATAAAAATAAGAATGATAAGCACTAACCCCTCAGCACCCTGGTAATGACACTCCTCATCAAGTTTTTGCACACAGGGTATTGCAGGTAGGGTAATAGCGTCAAGGTAAAGAAGCCCAGACCTCTCAAGTTGTGTAATTTTGTGATTCCATTCTTAGGGGTGACTCCTGCCAATGAAGGTATGTGCTCTCTTCCTGGTAAAATCAAGCCAAACATCTTGTGTGTTCAAAGAGAGGCTTGAATGCCCAATTAACCTCTGTCAATATCTGAGATTGCAGGCATTCCTTCTTCTAAACATCAAGAAAAGCAGATGTTGGGCCCAGCGGCACGGCTTAGCGGCTAAAGTCCTCGCCTTGAACGCACCATGATGCCATATATGTGCCGGTTTTAATCCCGGCAGCTCCGCTTCCCATTCAGCTTCCTGCTTGTGGCCTGGGAAAGCAGTTGAGGACAGCCCAAAGTATTGGGACCCTGCACCCATGTGGGAGACCTGGAAGAAGTTCCTGGATCCTGGCTTCAGATCGGCATAGCATCGGCCATTGCGGTCACTTGGGGAGTGAATCATCAGAAAGAAAATCTTCCTCTCTGTCTCTCCTCCTCTTTGTATATCTGACTTTCCAATAAAAATAAATAAATCTTTAAAAAAAAAAGAAAAGCAGATGTTGCTGGCAGGTGAGCAATCACTCCTGACACAGCTGTGAGGGTGTTTTGAAGGACACACCCTTTCAGTGACTTCAGTTCTGCTTAACACTTCCCCCACCTCCCTTGTGTAGATGACACACAAGAGAAGAATCAAGCATCTGTAAAACTCGGACGCCTCTGGCATGTTGACATCAGGAAGCAACTGCCCCAGATTTCTCCTCTCTGGATTCCTGATGGTGTTGAGTGCAGGATTATAGTATGTGTAAGTAAATCACATGGCACATGTACAAGGAAGGACAAATACAGACATGGAATAATACTCCTCAGGCTAGTGTTGGCCTGCACACACCTCGTAGGAGGCATCCGATGGCGATGGCATGTTATCTAAAGTTAGCTATACAGCCTGATATTATCATATTCAGAAGTGTTTCTTGTGGAATCAAGAAAAGATAAGGGGCTGGTGCCATAGTGTAGTAAGCTAAACTTCCGCCTGAGGCATCAGCCTCCCATATAGGCAACAGTTTGAGTCCTGGCTGCTCTATTTCCCGTCCAGCTCTCTGCTAATGTGCTGGGAAAGCAACAGGGGATGGCTCAAGGCCTTGGTCCCCTGCACCCACATGGAAAGAAACTCCTGGCTCTTAGCTTTGGTTAGGGTCAGCTCCAGCCATTGCAGCATCTGGGGAGTAAACCGGCACATGAGATACCTCTCTATCTCTCCTTGCTCTGCAAATCTGCCTTTCAAACAAAATAAAACTTTTTTTGTTGAAGGGGGGGCCTTAAAAAAAAGCCATTCAGAATTTGGGATAAAGAGAACAGGTGGGACAAATGATAAACAAACATCACTTGACACAAAGATGCCATTAAATCTACTTTTCTCTGATTTAATCTAGCACATTAAATATTTGTGTTCTTTTACCAAAGCACCTAGGAATTTAATCTACTTGGCTAGTTGCATAAGTCTGAGAGGAAAGCCAAGGATTTTTCCTCAGGCTTTTTACACCCTGCTGCTCTTGCTGTGGTTGTGCTAGAATACTCCTAACTTGAGTTTCCTAAATTTCTTTTGCTTTCAGTCCTGGACGTGGGAAAATACTCAAAGAGTGCCTATTCTGTATCATCTACCCTTTATTCAGATAAAGACCACTTTATTTTACTGTATTGCATTTTTTGTTTTTAAAGACTTACTTATTGCAAAGTCAGATATATAGAGAGGAGGAGAGACAGAGGGGAAGATCTTCCGTCCGATGATTCACTGCAATGGCCAGAGCTGAGCTAATCTGAAGCCAGGAGCCAGGAGCTGGGTCTCACATCTGGGTAGCAGGGACCTCAGCAGTGAGCCATGTTTTGCTGCTTTCCCAAGCCATTAGCCAGGAGCTGGGTCAGAAGAGGAGCAACAACATTTAAAAAGGGGAGAGGGGGCATAGCACCATGACATAGCACATAAAGCCACCACTGCCTGGGACACAAGCATCACAAATGGGTGCCAGTACAAGTCCCAACCACTCTATTTCTGATCCAGACTCTGATAATATGTCTGGGAAATCAGTGGAGGATGACTCAAGTGCTAAGTTTCCTGCTACCCATATGGAACACCAGACACAATCTCCTGGAAGGCCCAGTGCAATAGCCTAGTGGCTAAATTCTTGCCTTGAATGTGCCAGGATCTCCTATAGGCACCGGTTCATGTAGCAGCTGCTCCTCTTCCTTTCAGCTCCCAGCTTGTGGCCTGGGAAAGCAGTCAAAGGCAGCCAAAAGCCTTCAGACCCTGTGCCCACATGGGAGACCTGGAAGAAGCTCCCATCTCCTGGCCCCTGGCTTTGGATCAGATCAGCTCCAGCCATTGTGGCCACTTGAAGGGGGAACCAGTAGATGTAGGATCTTTCTCTATCTCCTTATCTCTGTGTATCTGCCTTTCTCATTTAAAAAAAAAAAAAATCGGAGCCCAGCACAGAAGCTTAGCAGCTAAAGTCCACCCTGCACATGCTGGAATCCTATATGGGCGTCAGTTCATGTCCCGGCAGCCCCATTTCCCATCTAGCTCCATGATTGTAGCCTGGAAGAGCAGTGGAGGACAGCCCAGTCTTGGGATGCTGCACCAGAGGGAGACCCAGAAGAGGCTCTTGGCTCCTGGCCTCAGATTGGCGCAGCTCCTGCCAATGCAGCTGCTTGAGGAGTGAATCAACAGATGCAAGATCTTCCTCCCCATCTTTCCTCTTCTCTATATATCTAACTCTCCAATTTAGAATAAAAAGAATCTCCTGGTTTCACACTAGTACAGTTCCAGCAGT